TTGAACTGCGCGTGCTGGTCTTTGGGGAGTCCCTCTGGGACTGCACGGTTGAGGGTTCAGATTTCCTGCGGGAATCCCCTGTACAAGCCCGAAACTACTCAGTCCAGGGCTTTAGGCTTTTTGGAGGGCGGTTTAGGGTTTAGGTTGTTTTTAGGGTTTAGGGTTTAGGTTTTTTGGGGAATGGTACTGCACTTGTCTTTAAAGACCCTGCGGCGAGGATCTTAATGATAGCTCTCACAACAGAGGCTGAGCTTGCCATTGCGGGACCTACAGCATCCTAAGCCCTTTATTCATCTTTGCCTTGTTTTGCCTGTTGTCTTTCCGCATAAGAGGCCCAACAAGGCTTCGTGAATACAGGGGCCTTCATACTTGGAATCGTCAAAATAAGGAACCCGACAGAATAGTTTTACAAATGGTTAGACTTATAGATATTATAGTAAGAGCCGTCAGGAATAATGGCCGGCGGGCTGAGCAAGACATCTTGGAACCCAAATATGAAGTGGGCCCGGAAAAGGTGTGTCCGTTGGTGTAGAAACCTGGGAAAATCCAACAAAACACATGCTTAGTAATGTAATTAAACCCTTAAACCCTAAACCCCCATTCACCGGTACAAGGGCAGGGTCCGCTTTCCCTGGAATGGCTGCAAAGGTTTGTTCAGGATGCTTGCTCAGGAACATGCTTCAAGATACCCTTGTTGCTCAGTGCTTACTGCTACGAGTATTCAGCTCCTTAACCTTAACCAAAGAAACTCGGACACAAAACCAATAAACCCTGTCGAAGATTCCCTCTAAGCAAGCTCACACGTTACAGCATCTTGGGTTACTCACTCGCCTGAACCTAAACCCAAAACCCTCGACAAGGATCTATGGTTGTAAGGCCGCAGCCACCACTTCAGCTGGCCCCTCGTCCTCGGTGACGTCACATCAACGCGTAGGCCCCATGATGTCGAACAATAACTTCTGGGTTTTGGCCCCGCCCTAAATCCCTGAAATGAAAGAATACCCCAAAGCAGGGGGCCGACATGACCCTGGGTCCAACAGCTTTGGACCCAAAGACAAGCATCAAAGGGAAACTTTTAACCTGCTGACATCGTGTGGGGTGTTCGAAGGCTCGACCAGGGTCCCTCATTCTACAACGGCTCTGTGAAGATTCAACACTTGAACCGCAAACATCTGCGTGCGCATTGTAAACGTGTATTCAAGCGAGCTCAAGGTGATTTTACAGTGGTCTTGATAGAGGCTGCCGGTAAACATGACAGCAGGATTTAAGGTTGAGGGCTGGACGGTCAGGGTCTAGGGTTTAGCTTTGGGTTTGACAGCGTTGGGCTTCAGGTTTATGCTGAAGCTATCAGGAACAAAAAAACTCAGCAAGAGGTTCCTCATGTAGGAGCATGAGGGAAAACAAAAGCTCCCGCCCACGCAAGGCCCACAGTTACGACTATACACTACCTTCCACGCTGACAACTAACTAATGTGGGGCCTGAATACGGAGAATAGGGTTTTGGGTACATTATGATAGGAGGCCCGAAGATTCTTTCAGTCTTCTGAGGAACTATGTGACGTGTGGAGGGACCCCCTTGGGCGGGGTGGCAGATGGAGTTTGCTAACCATTATAAGGGTTCTTGAGGATAGTTACTTGGCTTGGAGCCAACCTTGAGCTCTTTGCCTTGGCGCAAATTGCCCTCACCAGCACTCACTAGCGCTCATGAGCTAGCGATAGTCTCTAGTAGCTAGCGCTGACTAGTAGCAGTACAAGCTTTGGAGAGCGCTAGTCCTTGCTAGGCCATGGCAGGGCTTTGCAATCCTCACGAACAAGCCCAACTATACTAAGGCTTGCTACGTTCTACAAACGATTGCCAGCCATTGCTAATGATTGGCAGGCCTTGCTATCCAACTCTGGCAAACTGGTCCCTCTACAACATAACGAGCTTGCTGACAGCTGCGCCCCAAAACCTGCACCCTAAACCCAACTTCTTCAAGCGAACCCAAAACCTTTCAATTTAGGGTTTACGGACCAAAAAACTCTGCAAGTGACTCATCAACCCAGCAGTTCAAGGCATAATCAAAACCTGAAGCCCGCAAAAAAAAAGCCCGTAAGCACATATAGGGGCCTCAATAATTAGAATAGGTTTCGGGGCCAATCAAACTAAAGCTATACTAAGGAACCACCAAAATAGTATAGGTAATTATTAAGGCCTCTATAGTACTGCGGGCTCAGGCTGAGTTGCAGGCTTGAGAGGCTCCATCTTGCCGACGAGCGCGCCTATATATAATTAGGATCGAAGCTGCTGCAAGGGTACCCAGAGACTCCAACATCCCTTAATTAAGAAATATACCTTAAATCATATTAGGATTCCTGCTATAGTCTAAGGTCTAGTCCTTAACTAAGGGATATTGGAGTCTCCGGGCACTGGAACGTAATGTATGGATTCCTATAAGAGCTAGTTACTGTGGTACTGTAAGGTTACCATCAGGGTCAATAACATGAAGGTTGTACTAGGATATTGAAGCCTCCTAGATGAACTCTTACTCAACCCTAAACACTCAACCCCCGAACCCTAAACCCTGATCCCCAAACATCAAACCCTAGACCCTCAACACTAAACCCCACACCCGCAACCCCAAACCCCAACCCTAAACTAACTCCTCAACCCCAAACCCTGAACCAAACCTCCAATCCCAAAACCTGAACCCGAAACCCTCAACCCTAATCACCTAATCCCCAAATCACAACGCAGCTAGGCCCTCGACTGGCCGGCGCATCGGGGGCCGGCCTCGGCTACACCCAGAGCTCCGGAAAAGGGTGGCACGGGCTTTGGGCCTCTACTTGTAGTATATAGTGTTTAGGGTTTACACTGGGTTTGGGGCTCTAGTATAGGGTTTAGGGTTTATACCACGAAGGTTTATACCGGGTTTGGGGCTCCATTACAGGCGCCGTTTAATCTTATTGTTTGCATAGGGCTCGGAACCCTAAAGAATCATGCTGGCATTCTGTCAGGCTTCTATAGTACAAGGCATTCCTAAAGGGTTACAGCAGAAGTCCTTCAGAGGTTACGGTAGAGGTGCTATGGCACTTTCGGGATGGGTTGAGGGTTGAGGGTTTAGGGTTATATGTCTTTAGTGTAGGGTTTAGGTTTATGGATCCGGGATTGTGGTTTCGGGTTTTCGATGTTAGGTTGAACGTTAGCAAAACCATGGCAGCCTCAACCCACATGCTGCATATGTACATGCGTACATATATCACAAACATGTGTCTATATATATATATATATATATACATATACATATACATATACATATACATATACATATACATATACATATACATATACATATACATATACATATACATATACATATATATATATATATACACATATACATATACATATACATATACATATACATATACATATACATATACATATACATATACATATACATATACCATATACATATACATATACATATACATATACATATACATATACATATACATATACATATACATATACATATACCTATACCTATACATATACATATACATATACATATACATGTACATATACCTATACCTATACCTATACCTATACATATACCTATACCTATACATATACATATACATATACCTATACCTATACCTATACATATACATATACATATACATATACATATACATATACATATACATACAGATACATACGTTTACACCTAATAGGTGTGTGTGTGTGTATATATATGTATATATATATATATACATATTATATATATACATATTATATATGTACATATATATATATATACATATATATATATATACAGATAGATAGATAGGTAGATAGATAACATATGTGCTACGTGTGTGTAGCTCATATGTTTCTACGTACACACATACCTGCTACTACGATGACTACTGTATGACGATAACTCCGCAGCCCCCATTACTTGGACTTCTGGCTGTCACTACGAAGAGTTCGATCAATCAGGGCGCAGGACTAACCCGAATCTCCAAACCCTAGCCCCACGACTTACAAGTCTGAGCTGAAGGCGGCGGTGGTAGGACCCGCAGCATCAGAGACGGTTGGAGGCGGCGAAGCTTGGGCATTGTTCTGGTTTATGACACGGCCTAGGGCTTCCGCTGTTTTAGGGATTAGGGGCTTAGGTTTGGGGTTTTGGGAACACTCTGACATCAGTTCCAACGGCATGTGACATTATATAACGCCTACATAGGCCGAGTTCAAAGGTCTACATCTTTAAACAATCGCTCGTTCGGTGTAGCCTACACTCCAGCGTGGGCTGCAACGGCAGCAGAACAAGTGAAAGGTTTGTATCTTGAGGGCAGTCATAGATAGCTGTGGCTTCCTATCTGACTTTATGGGCTCGTCTGGTGGCTGAGGGCTCCAGGTTTATGGAGTTCGAAGTCCAACCATGACTGTTTAGGTCCTACTGGCCCAATTCCCTGCGCATCAAAATATCCCAAAAGGCTTAAGTAGTATGGTGTTTGGGCACCAAAAGCCTTGATATATTCCTTATTGAGGCTGCCAGCTTTGACATCAGCACGGAAGGGCAGAATCGCCCTACAGAGAGGGATCGGCAAACCAACAAAATCCCACCAACAAAATCCCACACCCGAACCGCCAAGCCCGGAACCCTGAATCCTAACACCAACATAGCCCTAAACCCCGACAACCCTGAATTCCTGAACCCTGATCCTCGGCCTCCAAGCCCTTAACCCTGTGAACTCTGAATCTAACATGCTTTCCCACTAAGCTACCACAGGTCGTCAAGGTACAGAATAGAAGACCCTGAGTCTTAGGATTTCGGGTCTCGGACCCCGACTAAGAGTCGACAGGTTGCGGGCTCCGTTCACGGATCTAGGGTGTTCTGGCAAGCTCGGGCTGCCATGTCTTAGGCTGCAAGGTAAGGCCCCAAACCCCTAAACCGAAACCTAACAGTCCGAACCCTAAGGCCCTCCATAAGGTCTTTTTCCGTCGCCCTGCATCAATCGAAAAGAGCGGCAAGTCCTGCGAGCGCCGGAACTGTGGGGGTCTGCCCTTGTAATACAGAGCTCAAACAATTAGACAACCGCTTTCGAGCACAGTTTACGAACGGTATCATATGGGTGGTCGCCAAAAATGAGGGTCCCTTTTTGGGTTCCCTAAATATTATAGGTGCCATATACTATATTAAGGACCCAAAAAGGGACCCTAATTTTGACAACCATCCATAAATTATTGTCGGGCCTCCGTGAGTTCCCTTTCTGAAGGGCCTGTGGGTTGATATGGGGGTTTCCGAAAAAAAAGGGGCCCCGAATATAGTACCCTAAATAGCAGGATCCTCAATGTAAGGGCCCAAACATAAGGTACCCCCCCGTAATTGTCGGAAGCTCCCATATCGGCTCTGGGGCTTTGGCATGCCATGCAGCTTTATTGGCGGTTTAGCTTAGGTGCCGAGTTCATAAGCCAAAAAAAGTTTAAACTTTCAGTTTTAAGAGGGTTTCATTATCCCAAAAAGTTTGAAGTTCATAAACTCAGCTACTAAGTTAGGGTTTAGGGTCTATAGGCAGTCTAGAGGCATTTAGTGGTTCACAGGGCGAATTCACATGACAACTAGAACTAGTTGTCCCGGAATCGACGTACTCATGACCCCATCTAAAAGAAGGGCTTTGAATTCAGGAACATGTGATCCGAGCAGTCAGCATCCAGATCTGTAAATAGAGCCAGCTCTCTAGACAGAGATGGTGGGATCTTTAGCCACAAGATTCGATCCGAGAAAGTTGGCCGCCAGTAAGTCAGGTGACGTGCACGAGCCATGCGAAATGATTCATGATTCTGCCGTGGCTACGTGGTTGAAGTTGATCTCCTTTGGGACACTGCTGTAACAGACAAACAGGAAAGAGTGCTTGCAGGAGCCTGATGGCTTCTAGAACTCTGAACGATTTTGCGGTATGTGTGGGAGTGAGGGCAGCACAGTTTTTGCGATGCTCATCTGCTGCCTCACAACTACCTAGCACAGCCCCACTGTTTCTGCACTATACAGGACTATACATGCAAAGAAGGACTGATGGGTTGCTCGCTGAACACCACATACATACCTTAGTCTTTGACCTGGTGGCACAAGCAACTAGGGGCCCTTGCGCCGCATAAACCGTAAAACCAAAGTCCCAAACTTTCAGAAATAAGCCCTACATCCTAAATCTTAAGTCCTACACGCTAAACTCCAAGTACTACACCCATCAGCCACATGACCATGGTATACCCTAGCCGCAAAACCATCCGCAATCCTAAGCCTTAACTGAACCCTATGGACCCTAAGTCCCGTCCCATAAAGCACAACTCAACAGACCCTAAACCTTACACCCTAAACATTAATTATATAAACCGTAAACCCTAAACCTTAAACCTTAAACATTATAGAAACCCTGAACCCTAAACCTTAAATCCTAAACATTATATAAACCCTAAACCTTAAACTCTCGCGCGGGCCTTCCCTTGGTGCCGAGGGCGCCGACTTGGGGTTCGCAAAAGGGTCCGCTGCGGCAGAAGCCCCAGGGCCGCTAGAAGGCTGCAGACCTCCTCGAATACATAGGGTTTATATGGGTTTAGGGTTTAGGGTTAGGGTTTGTAGGATTTAGGGTGTCGGGCTTGGGGTTTCGGGTTGGGGGTTTAGGGCTTAGGGTTTAGAGTTTGGGGTTTAGGGTGAGGCTATCTCCAATTTCATGCCCTTACTTAGCCTTCCGGTTGATGATATGAATCCTGCATTACCCATAATAAGGAATTTCCCACACTTCCCATAGTCTAGGGTCAGTCAAGCAGTTCAGGATGTAGATCATCAACCCTAGGGCTAAGTAATTTTGGAGGAGAGGTTCTAAAATGGTGACTACAGAGCACCTTTTCCAGAGTTCTGTTCCCTTAAAGGGTTCCTTTGAAGGGTGGAATAGGGGTATAGTGTACGATAACTCGGGACTACAAGGGACGACTACTATATATAGGCAGACCTCCAGGATTACGGTCGGGTCCGGTTGAGGCCGTGGGGTGTATGGCAATGGATTTCAGGGTTTGCTGTAGAAGGTTGAGGGGGCAGAGCTAGAGATGTAAGGTTTAGAGCTTCAGATTTACAGCTATATGCGGAGTTGAGGGAATCCTTTGATAAAGGCCGCCGGCCCGCAACTCCACACACACACACACAGACACACATTTCTACTTGTATATAACCCCCAACAGGACTAGCGAAGTAGATAAATATACATCCACAAAAAGCCTGGGCAGCTTCAAGTTTGGGAAACCCTGGGCGAAGTCCTCCTGCCCGGTGGATTACAAGCTGTCGCCAATGGCATGCAAACCGTAAGCACCAAATAGCTAAGCCCCTATTTGGGTGGTTGTCAAAACTATGGTCCCGTTTTGGGTACCCTAAATATTAGGTGCCGTACTGTAATAAGGACCCGCAAAGGCCGACCACAATTTTGACAGGTGCGAGGTATGACGAAGGCTCCTACTGCCACGTAAACTCCGAAGCCCCCCAAGCCTAAGCCGGAAGGTCAATGGTTATGAGACAGGCCATCATTTATAGTAGGGCTTCTTCTTACAATTCTCTAACTGCGTTTTAATTCTCCCCAAAAGCCTACCAAAGCAACAATTCGTAAACCCGTGAAAATCCAACGACTGGAACCCACTGGTTCCCCCGTGCAGCCGACCTGCGCTGAAGAAATCAGCCGAAGCAATGCCAAACGAAGACGACTTGTCCTGGGTCTGGGAGCAAATGACGCTTAGGTTTAAGGGCTTAGGGTCTTGGATTTCAGGTATGGGATCAAGGGTGTGACGGTTTAAGGCTCGCTGGGACTTTGAAACTTGAGGCCTGTGAGTTTGCTTATGGAAAGCATCTAGCGTTTCAGGGTTTAGGACTTAGGAGCTTTACGGTTTCCGCTCATCAAGGTCTGCTTCAATCGTGCTGGCTGCTCAGAGTAAGACCGCTCCCGAACACGATTTGCGTAGGGTCGGATACAGTCGTACGTATTGCATGTTTACGAACCAAACAAGTTGGACGGTTCCAAGAAATCCTACCGGATATTCACAACATGCTAGACCAGTGAAGCTGCAATCCCAAACTGCTCGAGTTTGCGAGGGGGCACATGAATCTGATTGGCAGGAGTTATCCTTGGGTAGGCAGATGCTAAATGAACAGCACAATGTCTTTTCACGTATTCGGCGTGAGTCTTTTCAGAGGGTTGAGGTGTCGTGGGAGATAGCCCCGAGGCGCGCACTCCGTTGTGCGGGAGCTAATTTCCCTGTGCAGTCACGCTGTATGAAGGTCTTGGCTTCCTGTGATTGTGTTTCAACTCGAGCTTTGCACGCTTTTCAAGCTAAGGCAGAATTTCGAAAGGCTCTTGGTAAGGCTGGTTCGCCAAGTGCACCTCGTGTTCCTGCTTCTGGTATGATAGAAGATTTCAACAGGCGCTGGAGACAGCACAGATCTGGCTGAGCCGTCGTGTGGTTTCTTTTTGTAGAACATCCACAGGTGATTCGCTTGTGGATTGTCCCTTGAATTGAGCGCATGCATCAACCCTAAGGCCCTAGGCCCCAAACCCTGAACCCCTTAACCCTAAGCACTAATACCCCTACCTAATTCGCAGCAGCCAAGGGGCATTCTGCTCCGTCGGGGCAGCACCCACTCGTGCGGCGGAGCCTCAAAGGTCAAAGGCAGCGTGCCCTTACACTAAACCCCATAAAGTTGGAAACCGGATTGAGGCCAAATAGTGCTGGGATTCCCTATACATTACTCTTAAGGACTGAGGCTTTTGGGTTTCCAACTTTTTGGCTTGTACTGTAGTTCCTTCAAGGGTCCTCTAAGGGTTCCTTTACAGGTGCGACAATTGTTCCCCTGAAGGTTCCTTCAAGGTTTCCTGCAAGGGTTCCTCTATGGGTGCCATAAGGATTCTTTGAAAGGTTCCTGTCAGGGTGCTATACGGATTAAGGGTTCCTTGGGAGTTTCCTTTAAGGTGGTATATGATATAGGGGCCTTAAAAAATCCAATAGGGTTTTGGGACCAAATATACTGTAGTTATAATGAGGAGGCCCGTGCGATGACTCGACGGCCTGCAGCAACATGCAGCACACTGGAAAGAGAAATGCGAAGCCCACATCTCTTTTCGTTTGTGCAGCTACTGACGGTTCGCCATTCATTTGCAAATTTGATGCCTCTGTGATCATACACCGCCGCTTTCACGTTGCCCGGACCTCGAAGCATCGTCAGCATCATTTGCTGCTCCTTGGTTGATCGCACGGCGGTTGCGCACCCTGCTTCTGTAGTCCACCAAGGCTCGGTGCTTCTGCCATGCACACCCAACCAAAAGTCGCGAGTCCACTGCTCCTGGTCCTGCTCCAGCTCCACAGCATCCACGGAGGGCACATGAAGGGGGTTTCCGAAAATAGGGGACCCTAATATAGTACCCTAAATAGTAGGATCCTTATTATAGGGACCCCTAAACAAGGTACCCCTATTTTCGGAAACTCCCACATGACACAAGTGTCGTTCTAGCGCCTGCGTCACTTCCGCCTGCCACTTCCGCTGGCGGCTGGGTGTGTCATCTGGCGTCTCTCTCAACCACCTCCATAGCGATGTCGCCATTTTCCCCTATATTAAGGTATAAGGCTTTTGGGGCCCATGATACTATAGCTTTAGTAAGGAACTCCCACAAGAGTATTAGCAATTATTAAGGCCCCTCTATGAAGGCATAAGGGCTGCTTACTACTAGCTGCTGTGCTTGCAGGTTTTGGGGCATTGGCCCGAGGCCGCTAAAGGTTGGCAGCTTTCCCTAATGAGGCCCTATCCTAGGTTCCCCAATGTCACGTTTGCAATAAGGCCAGAGGGTCCACATACACTGCCATTATGGAATTCGGCCCACCATAATCGGGATAGTCTTTTGGTACCTAATTCCGCAACGGTAGTGTATATGGACCCTCTGCGTACAAAGGGAACCCTGGTTCCGGATTCAGGGCTTACGACATCGCCTCAAGCTTCCAAGGCTGGCCAGACTTTCCGCGACGGTTGCTGCAGTTGCAAGGAAAGCCAATTCAACTAGCCAAGCCCTAAACCCCAGGGTTTAGGTTTGGGAAGTGGGGTGCAAGAACCAATGCTGCACCGAATTCTCTGCGAACTGCTTCGGCGGTCTCCTCATGACGGACGATTCATCCGGCTTCTCCTGCTCCGCCTCCTCCACATGCGATTTGGCCTCTTCTTCGATGATTTCCTGCTGCCGCATCTCGACCATGACTTTCCGGTCCTTCTCGATCCCCTCGTTCCCGACGACACCGTCGACACGTTTCAACGCTTTCACCAAGCTGCGCAAGACATTGTCGTACTTCATGAAGTACACGACCTTCTGGATCAAATGCAGGTAATACTGTAAACTTGACATTTCCTGCTATCTTTGATGATATGCTATTTAAACAGCCACTCGAGCCGCACACCTAACCTCCATGCAAAGCCCAAACCTGCATCTTGATTCTCCTCTTGACCCCCAAACCCTAAACCCACAGACCCAAAACCTCGTACGCCCCAATCCCCGAACCCTCAAATTTCCAGACCCTCACACCCCAACTGCATAAGTCTGAAAATCCACCTGTCCAAGAGGTCAGCGGGCTCGCACCAGTGCCAAACTCCTCGAGAAAGGCTCAGGTTTTAGGTTTAGTGCGGGTCCTTCGACACATTCGAACTACATTTAGGAAACTTAAGTCTGTGGGGTTCTTCAAATTACGGGCTTGCTTGTCGGTACTTCTCTTGTCTTTCGGAGGAAAACTCGGCAACAAGTATTCTCAAGCAGTCCTGCAAACCCTGCATCCCACCTCGAACCTAAAATGAAAAAATAAGCGTACTCTTACGTGCCGCAAAGACAACACATGTAGGCCTCCAGCGTACAGTATAGCAAGGGGCCGTAGTAGTGAAAATAGTCTATACTTGTAACAGGGAATAGTAGGAATACAATTTAAAAACGATACTATATCTGCTTTGGCACTTCGAACACAGACTTCGTGCTTGAAGGTCTGTAGGATAAGTCCGCCCTGGAGCCTTAGGTTTAGGTTTTGCGCTTAGGGTCTAGGTTCGGGTCGGATCGCAAGAGCATTCTGGGTCTGCATGGGGCGCTTGGAAACCTGAGATAATTTGCTGGAAACCCGTACCTCTCGACCCTCTCAGCGGCATACCCATCTTGTACCCCTCCAAACGTCAACCGGAAACCTCGAGCCCAAGCCCTGCACCCCTCAACCAAACGACACGCTGCAGCTTAAGGGCTTAAAGCGCAGTGCGACAATGGCAGCGATGCTGCCACAGCTGAGAAAACAATACGATCAGGGAAGGACAAGAGTAACCGCAGCCTACATATCAAAAACGGAAAAGTAGGGCGTAGGGATTTGAGATGCTCAGGGTCTTTAACAGGCTGGATGCGCGAACAAGGCTAACAATGAGAATAGCCGAACAGCCATACATACGCATCTTCACCTTCACCTTCATCTTCATCACCACCACCAGCTTCATCTAAACCGATACTGTTCCTCATGTCCATGCTGAACATATTCATCATTGATCATCAACCCAAGAATAACAGACGTGCTTGTCTGTCAGCAGGCGTCCTTTGGCTCGTTGGCCACCGCGGCCGCCGCGAAAGGTGCACTCGCACCTTGGGAGGTAAAGGAGGCTATAAACCCAGCGACGAGGGAGTTTCCGAAAATTAGGGGTACCTTATTTTGGGGTCCTTTTATAAGGATCCTACTACTCAGGGTACTATATTGGGGTCCCCTATTTTCGGAGACTCCCACGAGGAAAAAAAGATACTGCAAGGAATCGTTTGGCAATGAGCTGGAGGATGAAGGAGGGGAAACTGGAGGCGATTGGCGGCATCATCAGCAACAAAGGCAATCAAACCCTGACAAATCTGTCATGACATTCCCATCACCGTTCATGCATCAACCGAAACATCGTGGCCATCCTCCTCATCCTCACTACCTGTGGGTGCAACGCTTGCCTGCAATACCCCTTCATCAAAACACTGTGATCACCATGATCGTGATCATGCCGCCCATGAACATCACCGTTGGCGTCAACGGTAGCAGCATCATCAGCGAGATCATCACCAGCTGCATCATATGTTTGCTGCCACCATCGCCATCATCATCACAAGCGGCATGATTATTGTCCTCACCATCATCATCTGCTGCTTCACCGCCTTCATCAAAATCACCGCCATCGTCTGAATCATCGCTGTCACAACCGCGACCGGCATCTCAATCTCAACAAAGGGCTCGGGGCCGAATATAGGGGCCTTAACAATTAGAATAAGGTTTTGGGGTATATTATACTAGAACTCTTATAAGGAGCCCTAGGAATAGTGGTAATGATTTAGGCCCCTATATTGGGGTTTAGGGCAGTCTAGGGTTGTAAAGTTAATGGTGCAGGCTTAATACAACGAGTTTAGGGTCTACAAGACATTGAACAAACCCTCGACCCGAAACGACTCTTCAAGGGACGTAAATGAAATCATAAGGCCTCAAAAGATGTGTATGGATGTGGGGCTCTTTAAGGCTGCAAGAATGGGGCCTTAAGTAGCTGGAACAAATTGTCGGGATATCTTATACCCTACCCTACACCGTCAAACTGCATTCTTGCGTGCCAGCACCTGGAGGTGGTGGACCCATCTGGCCCATTGGCGGGAGGGGCACCTCGCATGAGAGTCTTGGGTAGCGTTCGGGTGGCTGATTTGTCAGATTTTGCTGTCAGGGAGTTTCGGCGGGTCAATCTCGCAGGGGGCTGGCTTAGCGTCGTGGCAACCGTAGAGCAAGTCTAGAATTGAAGAGCTGCCAAGAACTTGCTTGACAGTCGCTGCAGTATATTATATGTCAGGTTGATAGACTCCGAACATATGTACAACGCCTCCAACACCCCAGCGAGCTTCCCTAAACCATGAGAAATGTGGGATGTTCTTTACCATGCCTGCCGGCAGCCCCAAGAACCCTGATGAAGATCACCCCACGGGCGGGACGGTGCGATCTCGGCCTCCCAACGAAACCTGTCTCAAATCCTGGATCCGACCTTATACCCCACAGCCGAAATCCGAAACCCTGCAACCCCCAGCCCTCCACCCTAAACTTTACACATGCAGTCAAGGTGTAGAGTTTAGGGGCTTAGTGGTTAGGGGTTTAGGGTTAGGGGTGCAGGGTTTGGGGTTTAGGGGTTTAACTTGGGTTTAGGGTCTGGGGTTTGCACCACCCTAGCCCTACGCGATAAAACCCGATAAACCGTAATCCCTAAGCCGTAGACCCTACAGCCCTAATCCCCAACCCTCAACCCTCATCCTAAACCAGAAACTCTGCAAACTTTATTCCTAAACCCTCCCACCCCGACTCCAACCCCTTACCCCTCAATCCTGTAAACCAGAATCCCCAAACGCCAGGCCGAAACCGTACGCACTAACTCCTCAGACCCCCTAAACTCTAAAGCCTAAACTTCCAAACACCTCGACCCCTCGACCCCGAAACCCAGACCCAAAAAACTAAACCCCTAACCCAACCCCTAAAACCCGAAACCCCTCAACCCCAAAACCCCTAAACCCCTGGCCGAAACCCTAAACCCCAAACAGTACATAAACCCCTCAACCCCTAAACCCCTAGACCCCTAAACCATGGAGCCCTTCTTCCCGTTGAGGGCCGAACGCCCATGGGAGCCAGGGGCGGCGCCGGGCCCGGGGTGCCGCCTGGCAAGCTATGGAGCTGTAGGGTTTGAGGGCTTAGGGCTTGGGGTTTAAGGGTTAGGGTTTTAGGGTTTAGGGTTTGAGGGTTTCGGGTTTAGGGTTAGGGCTTTTAGGGTTTAGGTTGTTAGGGTTTAAGGGTTTAGGGTTAAGGTTTAGGTTTAATGTCTCAAACTGAGTAATACTCGTTGTGTCTTTTTTTAGGGGCCTTGACAGGCATCCTAGCATTTGGGGGTTTTACGACCAGGGTTTGTTCATCATGTTCCTCCACTAAGGTGCTGTGAGTGGTTTAGCGTTCCTTCTGTATACAGGGTTTAAAACGGACGACTTTCAGGCTTCACGTTTGATGATGCATTTAAATTCAGGGCATAAATTCATGAGATTGAGGAGCTTAGGAGTTCTCGTGTTGAACAAGAAACTGTCTGGGTTTAGGAGCTTCGTGGATCAGGAGTTCGGGCTTTAAGTCGTCTAGGATTTTAGGGTTTAGGGTCACGGTGCTTGTGGGTATGGGAACTGCCACTGCGGTCGGCTAAGGGATTTTGTTCGTCTGGGGTGTGGGGCTGAGGGCTAGAACAGCGGCAGCAAAAACAACAACAGCAACAGCAACAGCAACGACGACGACGGCCACGACAACATCAACAGCAACAGCAGCACAACAGACTACAACACCTGCAGCACTTGTCAACCCCAATCTCTAAACCCTATAAACCGTACAAGCCATATAATTAACCCTTATAACCCTACAACCCTAGACATAAGCCCCAAACCGGCCCTAAACCTTTTAAATCCCGACAGCAGCATCCGCCCACAGATACATCGGCCTTCGACTGCTGTGGGCGGACTCCCCGCGCCGTTCGGCTGTTCCTCGCCGGGTAAAAATCTTCGGGGTTTAAAACTTGGCGTTTATCGGGTTTAGGAGTTTAGGGTTTGGGGTTTAGGGTCTAGGCGTTTAGGGTTTAGGAGTTTCGGGTTAAGGAGTTTAGGAGTTTAGGGTTTAGGAGTTTAGGGTTTAGGGCTAGGGTCCCTTCAGCGTGGAGGGTTTTGGGAGATATCAGAACATCCCTGCTGATGGCACAAATGGCTTCGGACAGCCAGAACACTACAGTAAACCCTAAACCCCAAAACCCTAAACCCTAAACCCCTAAACCCTAAACCCGACAACCTCGAAAGACGCTCTTTGAAGGCCCTGAGTGCTGGGCTTAGATGCCCAGGTTCCTGAGTAGCCCCTTCACAATATGGGTACACGTCTTCCTAATATGCAGTCTTAATCAGGGGACCCTAAAACAAAAAAGGCAAAAAAGGTTTCACTCAGGAACCTAGATGCAGATTCTGGATCTCAAACTGTCACCATGCATTGCTTGGGGCATTCAGCGGAAAGTAAAGGCTTGGGGCTGGCTGTTGGACAGAAAGCAAAGCGATGCGACACGGAACACTAGCTAGCCCTCAGCCCATTTCTTACACAAATTCTTCAGTTCTGCTTTGCCTGTTAACCGAGCTTGCGGTCAAGCCGCGGAGTTTGAAATGCAGAAACCTGTCAAGCGAAGAAACCAAACCGACGTCCAGCACGCAAAGCAAGGCGTTAAACCCTAAGCAGTTACATCCCAGACAGCCCCGCGCGCAGGCCAAGTTGCCACAATTCGAAAAGCGTGGTCTTTCCTACATGTCTCTTCTATGGAAATAGCTTCTGTTCTGCAACGCCTTATAGAAGTCGCCTAAAACCCCGTACGGATGAAAGCTTATAATCCCTATATGCAAACCTTGTAACCAACAACCTTTTTGCAACCATGTTGAAACCTTACACCTTCCAAAACCCATACAGCTCGACAGCAGAGTTGTAAAAGACTACGATACCCGCAGAATATGGCGGACTTCATCATTAGAATAGGGTTTGGAGGCGTTTCTAGTCGGGCATATCATACAACTACGACAAGGAATCCTGTAAAGGATACTCAAACCCCTAAACACCTAAACCCCTAAACCCAAAACCCCTAAGCCCTAAAACCTTAACCCTTATAAGCTCTAAAACCTTATAAACCCCAAATCCTTACATCAACCCTAAGCCCCCCAAGCCCTAAACCCTAAACCCTAAACCCAAAGCCCTGAACCGACCAAGCGGAGGAAGTCCTGGGGCGCTGGTGCCTCTGCGGGTGGAGGGATCTCACCTCTCAGAACGACTGGGTTCAGGGTTTATAGGGCTTAGGGTGTAGGGTGTAGGGCTGCAGAAAGGTGGGCTTAGGGTTTAGGGTTTGTAGGGGCATTAGTAATTGGAATAGGGTTCCTTTGAAGGGCTTTAAGCGTTATGATAATAAAGGCTTGATGTAGGTGCCTCAATAATTAGAATAGGGTTTTGGGCTCCTTTTATGGTATAAATATACCGAGGAACCCTAAGGAAATAGACAGGTAATTATTTCGGCTTTTGTATTAGGTTGGGTCGGACGTTGGTTCTGGGTTAGGGTTGGTTTTGGGGGCTCCGTAACTCATGGAGAAAAGTCTAAGCCGGTGAAAGGACGAATCAATCCGTCACTCGACCCATGTATCTATCTACATGCCCATCTACCTACCTGACTCTCTACCTACCCATCTATCGTTGTATCGATCCATATCTCCGTCCATCCATCCATCCCTCCAAGATCGTATTGGACCCTAAACCCTAAACCTTAATTCAGCTCCCATATCAGAGCCAGAGCTTCTGGGAGACCAAGCTTCGAGAAACCACGTCGTCCTCAAAGTCGCTAGACACTGTATTATACTACACTGTATACCATACTATACTATACTGCTTTCTATACTATACTGTACTGCTTTCTATACTATACTATGCTATACTATGCTGTACCATGTTGTGCTATGCTATAACATGCTATACTATGCCATACCATACTATACTATACTTTACTATACTGCGCTATGTGAAACTCTGCTATATTCTACTAGTAAGGAGGTTGGGCTTTGATGGGTAGGAGAGCAGCTAAACCTAACTTACCGGGAGACTTTCATCGCTCAACCCTTTACGTTCCTCTCCTCGACTCACTGAATCCTAAACCCAGCCGCATCCTGTGACCAGGAGCGAAACCCGAAGACACCTATACTTCCTAGCCTGACATCCTTTAGGATCCTAAAAACAACCCTCGTAGCGCTAACAACCTAACCCTAAACCCAGCCTGGAGCATCAGATGAAGCTCCCTGGGCAAAGCAGGGTGCCGGGTTTCAAGCTTGGCGGTGTGCCCATTGGCCCGATTGTAGTTCCTTTTTTTGGTTTAACCCAGGTTTTTGGGATCCTGCACGGCAACCGCAACCCAAAGAAGGAACTGAAGTAGAGACTAAAGGTAGTGTCCAGCGCAAAGCATCGGGCTTGAAAGCTTTCGACTGTTGGAGTTGGGGGTACTAGGTAGGCCTGGGGGAATCTAAATTTGCACTAGTGGGCTTCAGAAGGTCTTACTTGCTAATCTCTTTCAAAGGCTTTGAAGGGCCGGCCTAGGTTCGAGTTTAACGCTAGAGGTTTAGGATAGGGATGCGGGAGTTTGGGGCTCAAGGCACGCGATTTCTCAAGGTGTTGGGGTTTGGAGTGCAGAGAGTTTGGGGTACTCATGACTTGAAATCGCGCTAAACCCCAGCCCAGGCAGCAACGAAACCGCACTTTCAAAAACAAAACCCTAAAAGCAACGATAAAAGGTTGTCAGGGCCTGGTAACACACCCTAAAAAGGCACTGAAGCTTGTTCCTTGCAGGCCGAAAGACGTTTGGCACGGGGGTGCTTGCTGCTGCACTCACACCTAGGTCGTTCCGGTTCTTGGGTCTTGTTTTTTTCGGTCTGGGGTTCCAAGTCTCTTTGGAGAAACTCTAAACCAAGTTGGCGCTAAATAAATTCCAGGGGCTTTGGGCTGGGTTTCGGGCTTAAGGGGCTTAAATTTACGGTTTAGGGTTTGGGGGTTTAACGCTTAGGTCGTCTTTCAGCGCTTGGGGTGCAAGGTTTCAGGCCTCGGCACGTTTACGGGTCAGTGTTGCTAGCAGTATTTAGGGCTGAGAGTGTGGGGTCAGTGTTTACGGTTTGGGAGCTACCTCCATTTCTTAACTCTCGGTTCCCTGTCTCTCCCTCCCTCTCCCTCTCTCTCCCTTTCTCTATCTCTCTATCTCTGTATGTCTCCCTCTCTCTATCTCTCTATCTCTCAACCTCTCTCTCTATCTATCTCTCTCTCTCTCTCTCTCCGCGATATTCACAGCCCGACCGATGGACCTTCGGATCACTACGTGATGTTCTGACTACGACAGCGGCTCTTCACGGACCGTGCAAGCCTTTGATGAGCTCTGGGCCATGGAAGGTCTTCCTCTGGCAAAACCGGAATTTGGCGCTTCGAGTGGGGCACTCTCACGAGTTAGGATTCCCCTAGCCCTGTCGCCTTGAATCTGCACCTTTAAACCTTCAACCCCGCCTGAAGTCTATAAGGGCCCTGTAAAGTCCTGCCCAACCTTCCAACCTCGTAGCAGGACTCGCGATTTGTTCGGGCTTCCAAATACAGTACTCTACTCCTAAAGAACCCCCATGCCCCCTACGATTAACCAGGACCCTGACAACACCTAACCGCAATAAATCTACAACCAGAGCCTAAACCCCAACACTCCAAGCTCTAAAACCCTGACACCCGCAGCCCTGAAAGTCTAAGCCCTAAAGCCCAGAAGCTCCTAGCCCAAAACACATTGAAACTCTGAGCCCCCGCAAACGCCTGAACCTCTACTCCACCAACAAACCCTGAAACTTCAAGGCCTAAAGCCCTGAACCTCCGATCCCCCCCAAAACCAAAAAGCTCGGATCACCCAAAAGGCCCCAAACCCTAAACCCTAGAACCCTGAAACTCTCTGCTCCAAAGCCCGGAAAGCTCTAAGCACCAAAATAACCTTGAAACTTAAATTAAAGCCCGAAAGAGCCCTAAGCCAATAAACCCTACCCCGCTAAACCCTAAAGTCGTAAACCCTAATCCCTCAACCCTAAACCCCTAAACCCCTAAACCCCTAAACCCTTCACCCCTAAACCCCGAAAGCCCTACACTCCTAAACCCCTAAAGTCCTAAAGCCTTACACCCCTAAAGCCCTAAGCCCTAAAGACCTAAAACATACCTTTGGTTAGTAGGCAATGGAAGAACGGGGTACAATTATAACTACTATTACTCCTTTCTTCCATTCCCTACTAACCAAAAGTAAGAATAGCTCTGATTGCCGGACCGGAGGGGCTCGGGGGTCCCTCGAAGAGGGAGGAGACCTGGGGCTTTGCCAATTGAACTTGGGCTTATAGTGGGAAACCAGGGTTTATAGTGGTTTAGGGTTTAGGGTTTAGGTTTGGAAATTCGAGGCTTTGGGGGTTTAGGGTTTAGGGGTGCAGGGGTTTAGGAAATTATTACGGGTTTTTGGGAAATTAGGGGCTTAGGGGATTAGAAGTTAGGAGCTCCAGGGGTTGGGGGGATGAGGAAATTAGGAGCTCTAGGGGCTTCCTGGGCCCTAAGGAACCTACCTTTTTAGGGGTCTCCTAATATGAGTTCTTTATATAAGGTCCTAAAAAGGTAGGTTGTTTGGAGTTATATAAGGTTAGGAAATTAGGGGCTAGGAAAGTAGGGGTCTAGGAAAGTAAGGATTTGTAGGTATAGGGGTCTGGGGAAATTCGGGGCTCAGGGGTTTTAGGCGTTTGGGGTCTGGCAATAAGGATTCCGGGATTTAGGGTCTGAGGTTGGTGACAGTTGGCTTTGCGGGGTTTAAGCAGTTAGGGTTTAGGAAATGGGTGAACTAGCAAAAACATACAAAAACCATGTTTTTCGGAGGGTCCCTGTGCATTTTCAGATTGGGGTTTATGAGCAAGACCTACAAAACCAGGTTACGGTAGCTTCAGGTATGGTTTAGTGACTTAGGGTCAAGTTTTACGGAAGAGCGGAATTGGGGCTTCGGGATTTGCAGTTTATGGAATCAGTGTAGAGTCTTTAACGCTTGGGGTCCAGATCTTGCGACTTTGGGCTTGGATGCTGCAAGGATGTTGTCAACATCGAGGCTGAAGATGGTCAGATATTACCCACTCAGTTGCTGGAGCTAAGAGCATGAGGTTAAGGGTTCAGGGTCCCGTCAATCCTACCATAGGCGTGCCAAGCACTCACTGAACGATATTGCTGAGACCTTCTGGTAGCTGCTCGGTGTTTTGCGGTACGACACAACAACATGCCTTCGCAACCCCTGGGCGGGGGGTGGCCTGCCACAACTATAGCACCGAACACCTATCCCGGAAATGCAAACTCAGCTTGCCCTGCGACTCTGCAACGCAGTTGGGAGTTGAATCCAATGTAATGTTATAGCATGAACGCCGTAGTGAAATATCACAACAAAAGGACCGGGAAAACAATTCCCAACTATCCTGGGTTGGCCTTTAAACACCCTGAAAAATATTTATATATAGAGTCCCTTGTAAACACAAATAAGGAAAAAATCCCAAAACCCTATTTCAGGCCCCTACATAGCGCACTCTCGGCCCGACATCCTCCAACCCCCCCCCCCTTTCCCCTGCGTGAGGTGGTCTCCGACGGCCCCCCCCCCGCCCGTGCCTAGAATAGTGGAGTCTTAGTAAATCGGGACCCCAACGAAGCACCTAAGAAGCAACGATGAGGTTGGGTGTGGTTTCTGATAACTCTTAGAGAAGGGTTCCATTAGAAGGTTGCTTAGTCCATTCAAAGGGTTGTCTTGGGGAGTCTATGCAGGTTGTAGCAAGGGGCCTTACTGGTTTTCGCAGGGTTGTGCTCCGGTGTATACTGTGCGGTAGTTAGCGGTACACTGGGAACCCGCAGGAATAGTATTCCATAGTAAGCATTCAGAACTTTATTTTGACCAAGAGATCTGGACAGAGAGGGTTGAATATGACGGTGACCAACAGAATGAACAGTTTGGGACTTGTGGGCCATTTAAAGCAAAGCTGGTATCTCTGAGTCACGATGTTTCGATGATAGGGGTGATGTTTCGTGTTCCGGATGTTGGGTGTTGGGCTTGAGGTTGTGGCGAGCGTTGGGGACTTCGAAAGAAAATGAGGAGGGTTCCGCTGAAGGTACCTTACCCAACCTTTCAATTAAGACGGAATTAGAAAACTGCCTCCAACCCCAAGCAAACCCCCACTTGCAGTTTCAGGTACCGAGGTGGCCGCCGGGGCAGCGGAAGACGCAGCAGCTTGCGGCGCCGTGGTTGCAGTTGCTGGAACGCTGGAGCCTGTGGACAAAAGCAGTCGGCTGCAACACGCTCAAGCTTGAATCCGACTTCGGCGGACCCTACACCCCAAAAACCCTAAAGCCTGTACTGTAAACCCTAAACCCTGAAACCCTAAACCCTGAGACACTAGACCACCAGAGCTCGCAAGGTTGGGTGGCTTTCCGGGACCCTCATCTGGCCTTGTGGGGCGCTTCCTGGTCCGTGCCGCGCCGCGAAATCTTTCAAGAACTTCGCTGCATCCTTGGCATGCTGTATCAACGGCTTTAGAGTCTAGGGTTTAAGGCTTAATCAGGGTTTGCAAGGTTCGAAGATGTAGGGCAATGAAGGGTCTAATTAAAGCTTGCAGGGTTCAACTCGGGTTTAGGCTTTGCTCTGCGTTTCAGGTTCTTCTTTTTTGAGCACCCTTTTCCTTCTGCAGGCTCCCAGTCTACTAGTCTTTCCAGTGTGAAGGTTCAGTCGGGGCAGAGTCAGGCTGAAAAAAGATGGAAGGTTTGGCAGGGAATCGGGGTTGGGGGAGTGGGACCTTGAACAAACTTGATGTGCTAGGTAGTTGAAGTTATAATGACGCAAAATGCCGGACCAGACGGACTTGCCGGAAGATTCTAGCCCCAACACCCAAAGGGTGCACGATCCCTGCCCGGGGCTCTTGTTAGACTCAAGAGCCATCCGCCGTCCTTGTGCCCTGTCTGACATGCTCCGGCAAGACACTGCGAGTTGTCGATACCAGCAGCTGAGTCAAGGACTCTCTACATCGGGGACCACTTTTCACATGCTGATTCTGATTGCAACAGAACCACCACACCCTGAAGCCGTAAACCCTGGAGCCCTTAAACCCTACAACCCGAAGACAGTTACAACCCGAAGAGTGTCTAAGAGTGACCTAATTTAAGCCACCCCCCAGCTGCAGTCCCTGGAACCGTAGCGGCCGCAGGCGCAGCGCTCGGCGCCGTGGCTGCAGTTGCCGGAATGGGGCCTGTGCAGCTAGGCCGCCCCAATCTTAAATCCGACCTCTGCAAAACCCAGGCAAGCAGTGTTAGTGATCGGAGCTGCCCTGAACCCTAAACCCTTTACCCCTAAGCCGTACACTCTGGACCTTTCCCAAAATCTGGCCTGGGGGGGTAGTTCCTTGCCCGCGCCGCGCCGCGAAGTCTTTTAAGAACTTCGCCGCTGCATCCTTGGCAGTTAGGCTGCTTAAAGGCGATGGTGCCAGTTTTGGGGGTTTTGCGGTCGCGGTTGCAGATTAGTCATGTAGCGAGGTCGAAGCTAATCAAGGGTGCAAGATTGTTGCTGCTCTGACCCGCTGCCTGGCGCTAACGGCTCTCTTGCATCAACTTCTAAAGCCCCTTGAAGCCATAGCCTCAACCATATGTCCCGACTCAAACGCCTAAACCATAAAAGCCCCAAAGCCCGAACTTATGAATCAAACCTTGGTGGCTCCACACACTGGAACCTGAAACACTAAGCGTCATAAGGAAGAAACCCTGAAAAGAAACATAGAAGCCCATGAAACTCGTAGGATCCTGAAACCCCAACACCCTAAGCCTTCGGGCTCAGAATGAAAGGGCATGTCCAAGGTAGCGGCCTTATACCCCCTGTAAGTAGAACAGTGCATCACAGAGATGTCACGGGTTTCTGTGGGGGGTGTGTAAAGGCTTCATAGGGTTATCAAAGGGTCTCAGGGTCTCAGCTTCTAATTTATGTATCACTAATCAGGGGATAGCATGGATAATATATCTCACGTCTCAGGCACCTAAGTCAGGCCAGGACACCTAAAATCCAAGACTTCCCAGCGCACAACGGTCACAGGGATGTTCTATATATCTAGATATTTATATATACGTATATATATATATATATATAGAAATATATATATATATATATATATATATGTATGTATACGGGTGTTAACAAAACGCAAAAGGGCACACACATATATATATATATATATATATATATGTATATGTGTATATATATATATATGTACATATATTATATATATGTATACATATAAACGCACACACACACACACACGCGCGCAGAGAGAGAGAGAGAGAGAGAGATGAACATATGTGCGCATACATATGAATCCACCAAAGGCTTGAACTGACAGGGCTCTTTGCATGTCGTTGTATTGGACGCAAGTCAGAGTGCTGTTTGCAACGACCCAACCCAGGAAACTTCAACAACTCCTCCAATAAATATAGTAGTCAGTAGACCCCAGAGAGTTGAAAACGGGATGAAGGACAACTGGTGCTGCGATTCCCTGCACATTACTCTTAAGGATTGAGGTTATTGGGTTTCTAACTGTTGGGTTCTATTTAGCTTCCCACGCTAGCCATGCAGTGCTGGGGGCACTAGCGGCAGCCGTCGTGGCAGGCTTTGCCGGGATACCTGCGATTGTAGCATGGGGCAAAATCATAGTACCGGCCACCAGGAGTTGCATAATACAGGGGCCTTGATGATTAGAATAGTGTTCTGGGGCCCATTATACTGTAATTTTAATAAGGAGCCCCCGAAACAGCATAAAGTGATTGCTAAGGCCCTATACTACAGAAGCCGAAGCAGGAGACCAGGAGCAAGGAGGAAGGACGAAAAGCTCCGTGCAGTGTTTTGATTCTTCAGGTACATGGGAGTTTCCGCAAATTAGCGGTACCACATATTAGGGTCTTTGTGATGATAGCGGGTACTATATTTAAGTCCCCTATTTTCGGAAACTCCCACATGTGCAATGCCAAGACCTTACAACTATCTCCGGTAACTTCGGATTGAGATTCAGGTGAGGCTGCTTTCATGATTTCTGCCATACCGTGACACCTGTTGTGTTCCATCTCTGCAGCAGGTACACTTTTCATGGTCTGTCACAGGGGATTTGCAGGGCTCTACACGGACTTTGGCAAGCTTTGTGGCTGCCATCCACTCGTTTAGGCAATGGGGCTCACGGTTTGGGTGTAAGGTATATTTGATGCCGAATTATCCTACTTTCAGGATCCTGCATAAACTAGCGCATTCAGGTAATTCGCGTTAAGATAACTAATCCCAAAAAGCTCCGAACGTAGACAAGTCTGTGTACTTTCTCAAAACTCAACCTCGCGACAAAGGCTTTAAGAATTCTTGTTCGGGGTGTATGTTTTCACAGCAACGCAGCCTCCACGACACCCAGCCCGGCTGCAAAGCAAGTAATATAGCTCCAACGATCTTAACGAGTAACAGAAGAGATTGTTTGGGGCATAGTGTAGCATAGTTTTACAGGAACTACATGGGCGTATTGTTGCTAATCACGCATGCCTTTACATGGGGCTTCCAACAACGATTGGACTCTCTGGTTTAGAGCTGCCCTAAACCCCTGAACCCTTAACGCCAAATCCTAAGCCCTAGATGCGAGTTTTAAGTTCAGGGATCTACAAGTTATGGTGTAGGGTTTGCTCCTCAGATCCAGGTTGTGAGGCTTGAGGCAATTACTGTCGGGTTTAGGGTCTATAGTAATAGGGCTTTAGGTATAACTGTATAACCCTAAACCCTAAACCTAAGGGTTTAGGATTTGAGGCTTGGAATACGGCTCCGGTTCCAAGTTGTCAGCCACATAAATAACTTGCGCTGCTTAAGAGCTTTAGGATTTGGTATTTAGGGTGTAGGGTTTGGGGTTTAGGCGTTTGGGGTTTAGACGGTACCGCCATTCAGGGCTTGTAGTCTAAGGCCAAGAAGCCGCAACCTGTGCGCCCCACCACACTTCCGACACATCTCTTGGAGCCCCGGCCCTCAGTGAAGCCAAGCCCTAAAGCATAAAGCTTGAGCCCTAAACTAAACCCTACACACGAAGACCCTGTGACCCTCTGACTCCAAAGGCAGAGCCCAAAACTCTGAGCCCTGTAAACACGAACTGCCAAGCAAGCTCCTCTAGCCCAAATCCCGCCAGCCTACAACGGGGCTTAGGGTTCAGGCTTTAGGCTTTAGCTTCGCTTCCAGCCCATAAGAGTGGAGGAGGCCTCGAAGAGTACCGGGTACCAATTTCCACGGCCCCTTCCAATTCATGTGTAGTTGGGCCTCTATATTAATTGAACCATCAAGAAGGAAGGCCCACAACAACAAACTAAACCCTAAACCCTAAACACCAAGCCCTCAACCCTATACCCCATCCCGAGTCTGTACCTACCCTAAACCCTAAACCCTAAACCCTAAACCCCTAAACCCTAAACCCTAAACCCTAAACCCTAAACCCCTAAACCCTAAACCCGAAACCCGAAACCCTAAACCCAAGCTGTCAAGCAGCTCGCACTCTGGCTTCCGCTTCCCCAGGGCTCCTCGAAAAGAGCAGCGCAAGCTTTGAGAAGCTGGGGGGGTTCCATTAAATTTCAGGATTCCTTTGACTAGGTGTCGATTTCAAAACATCCCCAACAATTCTCTAGAATTGGGGCTGAGTATAGAACAAATAGGAAAAGTTATAACTACCCCATATCGGTACCTAGTTAAAGGGTCTTGAAGGGTTCCTTTGCACGTCCCACAAGGAGTCAGGGTTGTACAGGAATGTAGGATAAGGGTCTTGGGATATAGGATTTTGGAACTTGTCTCAGGCAGTGAGTGAACCACCTCTGCAGCAATTGAAACGCGTACGCACTTAGGATATGGCGGTTTCAACGCTTAGTCTGTTCGTAGAAGAAGTTCTTGGCAAATACCAGTCAGTCTTGAAATCTTTCGGGAGTATGGGTGTGGCTGTCCGGATCCTCCGTCGTGAAGGCAGAATCATCCGCCTCCAGGTAGCATCCCGTGGATAGTGCGGTTCACTGCTGCCAGCTGATGCGAATGGTCGGCGGCGGCGGGCCTCGTCGCGCATCTGTATGTTGGGCAGGTCCTCCGACATGCATGGTGTGCCCGTGGATGCGCCCAAGGGTCTTCGTGTATAGAAAGTGTTCGAAAGACCTTTCCCCAGCAGCGAACGGTGCGGCCTCTGTGTCCCGATGATGCGGGAGCGCCGCTATTCCTCCAACTTGTTCGCCTTCACCAAGACCAAGATAGTCTCCGATTCGAAAGCGTACGGAGAGTGTCAACTCTCCCCAAGCAGACATTTCGTCGTAGGAAAGGCAGTGAGGTGGGCAGGGCATCTGCTTGTCTGAAAGTGAATTGATAAGCTCCATATGGGAGTTTCCAAAAATAGGGGACCCTAATATGGTACCCTAAATAGTAGGATCCTTATTATAAGGACCCCCAAATAAGGTGCCCCTAGTTTTCGGAAATTTCCATGTGGCCCGTCGGCCGCCGACTGAATGTTTGGCAATGCAAGAACTACCTCATCGAACTACAGGATGACCTTTGGGACTATATAGAGATGAGTACTCCAAAGCGCCCAAAATTATATCTAGTCTACTACTAAGTATACTTCGGATATAACGCTTCAGATTTTTGGGCTTCATGGTAGCAGGATATTGGGGCGTAGGGTTAAGAGCTATACATAGGATTTAAAGTTTGGGGTTTAGGTTTGAGGGTTGAGAGTACTGGGCTTAGAATTTAAGGTTCACGGTTTGAGGTTTGGTGTTTTTATGGTTTGGGGGTTAGGTCTGGCTCTAGGCTATCGGCTTTGCAAGTATAGAACTGGGGGCTTGCTTGCGTGTGAGGCCTACGGAGTTCTGTGATGATTCCTTTTGAGGCTTGGGGAGATGGCAACTGGAATTGTTGTTAGAAACCCTGTCAAAGGAAGCCCTGAAATTGAAGGAACCCTACTTGCAAGGATGAGGACTCCCCGAAGATGACAAACCTCTCACATCCATAAACCTGGCAGGAGAGAATGCACTGAAAACAAACCCTACCAGAAAGCCCTGATCTCACCCACACCCTGAAGCAAAAAAAAGTAACCCCATGCCCGAACCATAGTATAAACTCTGGATGAAAGGAAATGCTAGGCCCTTGTTCCAACAAGTACGCCACAAGCCCAACACCCTGACTGCTCCGAAAGCTCTGTCTGAAAATGACTAGCAAAATATGTGTACACATCCACCTATCTCTCTACCTATATACCTACTGATCGATCGATCGGTCTATCTATCCATCGATCCATATTTGCGCATAAACGTAAAGGAAACGCAGTGACTGGGACGTAACGGAATTGAATTCAATGGCAGGCAAAGTAACGCACTGCAATTCACTGTAAGTGCGGGCATGTGTAGACAGTGTATGTGTGCGTTCGTATGTACGTATGTATGTATGTATTATGTATGTATGTATGTATGTACATATGTACGTATGTACGTGTGTATGTAGGTAGGTTGGTAGGTATGTGTTATATGTATGTATGTATGCATGTATGTAGGTACGTATGCGTGTACATATACGGTTATTTCTCAAAGATCAGCCAAGCTTCAACAGCTGGCGCCGCCGATGAGGTGGCCGCAGGGGGTGCGAAGAGCGCGCTCGTGCCTTCGGCACCCCGAAATTTCCAAGAACCCTGTACGAAACCCCTACCGTCACCCATTTAGGAATCTTTTCAAGCATATTAAACCCCACATAGTATAACCCTACGCAAAGAAGCCCATCAAAAGAACCTCTCAATAATTTAAGTGGCCCTCGGCCACCCAGCACCAAGTTTCTACAGATATCACTGGCAAAGCTTAGAGGGTTTAGGGGTTGGGTTCGAAGTTGAGACTGCGGCTATTGGTGGTGGTGGTGGTGGTGGTGGTGGTGGTGGTGGTGGTGGTGGTGGTGGTGGTGGTGGTGGTGGTGGTGGTGGTGGTGGTGGTGGTGGTGGTGTGGTGGTGGTGGTGGTGGTGGTGGTGGTGGTGGTGGTGGTGGTGGTGGTGGTGGTGGTGGTGGTGGTGGTGGTGGTGGTGGTGGTGGTGGTGGTGGTGGTGGTGGTGGTGGTGGTGGTGGTGGTGGTGGCGGGGTGGCGGAGGTGGTGGTGGTGGTGGTGGTGGTGGTGGTGGTGGTGGTGGTGGTGGTGGTGGTGGTGGTGGTGGTGGTGGTGGTGGTGGTGGTGGTGGTGGTCAACAGTGTGGATGATTGAGGAGACTATCTAAAACTCAGTTTTGATGATGACACCGCCAATGAGGGCACTAACACAAAACACTTAACCCTAAATCCCTAAGCCCCTACCTAGACTCCCCAGAGTCACGGCCCAAAACCACACAAAGGGCCACCACGCCACCACGCGACACCCCCCGGGGTCCAGGTAAACAGTGACCCTGAACCCTAAACCCTGAACCCTAAACCCAAAGTCCTGAACCCTGAACCCTAAACCCTGAACCACAAACCTTAACCATAAACCCTGAATCTCAAGCCCTAAGCCCTAAACCCTCAACCCTATCCCCTGAACCTCACGCCTTAAACCCTAAACCCTGAACCCTAAACCAACCATTCTTCAGGATGGGAGGCCATGGGTACAGGGCCGATTCGGGTTTGGGGCTGTTGCTTCGGGCTCAGGGTTTCGTGCTTAAGTTTCAGAGGCTTAGGGCTTTAGGGGTTTAGGGCTTTAGGGGCTTAGGGCTTTAGGGATTTAGTGGTTTAGGGTTTAGGTTTAGGGCTAGGTGTTGCCGGGGTTAAGGTGTAGGGCTTGTAGGGTTTGGGGTCTCGAAATCCCTAAACCCGACACCCCGAAACCACTGCAGAGAGTCCATGAATCCACATCAACATCCTGCAAAGCCCCATACAAGCCGAAAACCGCTGAGAATATACGCATGGAAAACAAGCACTCCTTACGCCTAAAGCCCTATTACTATAAGATAAGCTTTGGGGCTTACTATTTGCTATGATACAAGGCTTAAGCGTTGAGAGGCTTCGGGAGGTTAGGACATCTTCATAATAAACCCAAGCCTTACCAAGACACAGCAGAACTCTGCCCTCGCAACTTCTGCCTGCTGGGCTCGGCTCGACATTCCCCTGGCTCTGTGCCAGTTGCTCGAAGAATTCTGCCGGGGCCTCGATGTGTTTTTGGAGGGGCGTGGGCGGGAAGAGGGGGGGGTGGGTGCATGTCGGAGTTTCAGGGTAAAGATACAGTGCGACTTTCTTTGTTGAGGGGTTTAGGGTAAGGGCACTATGGGTCTTTATATTCAGAAAGCGTTCGGGTCTTCTAGACGGTTGTGTCTTTGCGCAAAATCCGGAAGCAGCCGGTATGCGACCCCTCCAGCTAAGCAAAGCCAGATGGTCTGGCTCAGACTTGAGGGCTTATGGTTTAGAGTCCAAAGATTAGGGCCTGGGGCTCAGGGCTATGGGACTAGATTAGATTATTATGATTATTAATGGGGCTTACAAGCTTGATCGACCCAGGGTTCCGAAGGGTTTATTCTACAGGAGGAGTTCGCCTCCAACAAAGTCTCACAAAGCCTTGCCGAGAGGACCATCATCACCATCATCATCATCATCATCATCATCGACAGCACCATCATCAACAACAACATCGGTATTAACATCAGCATCAGCATCATCGTCACCACCATCACCATCACCATCCAAATCTCCATCGACATCGCCAACGCCCTCACCATCATCATCAGCACCAGCACCATCAACTTATACACGCACTGGCAGGGGGGAGTTAGGCGAACACTCGTCTCACATGTGGTATTTCCATAAGGAACATCCAACAAGCACAGAATTTAAACCCCTAAAACCTGTAGAGTCCCGGAGACCCCTCAGCACCCAGACCCCGAAACCGCTATACATCCTCGAACCTTACAGTAACCCTTTTGGCATCCCAAATTAAGAATAGTAACCTCTCTGGTAACCTTTACGCAGCCCTCAGACCAACCCCTAGAGTAAAACTTGTAGAAGCCCTGAACCCTGAACCCTAAACTCTAAGCCCTATGAACCCGTAACTCGGTGCTTGCCGTGGTGCACTCGGCGGAGTGAGGGTGGCCGCTGTAGCGAAGGGGGAGATTGTTCCTTAGCAAAGTAGAACGGCGTTCAGAGATTGGGGTTTGGGGTTTAGGGTGTATATAAGGTTTAAGGGGTAAGTTTGGAGTTTAGGCTTTGATTTTGGAGTCTACCAGGTACCAATCCAGCCTAAACCCCGAAGCTCCAAACCCTAAGACCTAAAACCTATCCATCAAAACCTACAAGCTCTGGAGCCTAAACCCCAAACCCCAAACTCTAAAGCCTTAGATCCTAGCATCGTAAACCCTAAGTCCAAAAGCCCTTAAATCCACAGCGCCCGCGCCTGCAACGTCAGGCGGAGCATCCCCCTGAGGCGGCCCCTTGGTCAGCTCCTCAAAGAAGTCTTCCGGCACCTTTCGTTTGGGGCATTTTTAAGCTTTCCACCCATTTTTTAGCATCTTTAAGGTGTTTAACCCATTGTGTTAAAGCTTCTAAGCGATCTTTTCTCAGCATGTGTAAGGTGTTTAAGTTTAGAACCTATTTGCGGTTTCGGGTTCAGTGTTTAGGGTTCAGGGTTAATGCTCCAACAAGTAAAGATCCTACTGTTCGAGTTTCCTCAATGCCTTTGTACAGATCCAATGAACCTTCTTATCCGCACGATCGTTCTGGCCCATTCACACAAGTTGCCCCGTTGTGGTTGGTTTCATATGTAGGATCCTACAAGGTAACCTCAAAAGGGGCAGACCCTAATGTAACGTAGACCCGTTGGCTAATAAGGCTGCCCTGCTTCAGCCGGGGCATCACTGGCATGCGACGTCATGTACAAAGGGGCTACTACAAACCAGGGACTTGCAGTGAACCTCAGGCCGTAGAGGGCCCTTTTTGGGGGAGTTATATATTTCATAATATGACACAAGGAACCTAAGCAATAAACATGGCTAGCCAATTTTAGTCAGTCTTCTGAAATGAATTGCAACGATCGTTCGTCTTGTGCCTCGTTTGGGAGCCAAGCTGCAGTCGGCTGGGTCAGGGCCGCAGCTGCCGCAAAGGGCCCACCAGTTAATGTAGGTACCTCAAGAAGAACCGTTGTTTAGGGTTTGATTCTTCCTTAACACCCCCAAACCTTGCTTGCAGAACAGCCCAACGCTACTACTGCAGTAGTAGCAGTAGTAGCAGTAGTAGCAGTAGTAGCAGTGGTAGCAGTAGTAGCAGTAGTAGCAGTAGTAGCAGTAGTAGCAGTAGTAGTAGTTGTAGTAGTAGTAGTAGTAGTAGTAGTAGTAGTAGTAGTAGTAGTAGTAGTAGTAGTAGTAGTAGTAGTAGTAGTAGTAGTAGTAGCAGTAGTAGCAGTAGTAGTAGTAGTAGTAGTAGTAGTAGTAGTAGTAGTAGTAGTAGTAGTAGTAGTAGTAGTAGTAGTAGTAGTAGTAGTAGTAGTAGTAGTACTAAGTACTAAGTACTAGTACTAGTACTAGTACTAGTACTAGTACTAGTACTAGTACTAGTACTACTAGTACTAGTACTAGTACTAGTAGTACTAGTAGTACTATTAGTAGTACTAGTAGTAGTAGTAGTAGTAGTAGTAGTAGTAGTAGTAGTAGTAGTAGTAGTAGTAGTAGTAGCCGTAGTAGTAGCAGTATGAGCAGTAGCAGTAGAGTAGCAGTAGCAGGAGCAGGAGCAGTAGCAGGAGCAGGCAGGAGCAGGAGCAGGAGCAGGAGCAGGAGCAGGAGCAGGAGCAGGGGCAGGCGGAGTAGCAGGGCCAGGAGCAGCGGCAGGAGCAGGGGTAGGAGCAGCAGGAGCACTCGCACACGCACTAGCTCAAGCTCTAGCTCTAGCATGCTCTAGCTCTAGCAGCAACAGCAGTAAGTCGTCGTCGGCGACGTCTCACTGACAGTTCGTTGCCAAGCTGCCGTAGGCTTGGCAGCCGCGAAGGGCACACTTGCACCTCCACAGGCGACCAGCAATTCTGGCAAAATGTACGAGTCTTGCCAAGAGTTAAGGAGTTTAGGGCCACCCGAAGCTTAGGGTTTGGCGAAACTGCAATGCTGCAAAGCAGCTCGGCAAACTGGAAGCCACCGGTGGTTCTCCGAAAGGGTCTGTCGCCGCTGGCACCTAGCGACCGAACTCCAGCACCCTACATAGACTGTTTGGTTTAGTTCTAAGTTTAATACTAAGTTTAGTACGTTTTAGTACGCGCCTGGGCCTGCGGGTTCGTTGTCATTTGCCACACTCGACAAGCATATGGATACAAATTTCGACGATGCCGTGCCATTCCACCAGTGACCGTTCATGCCGTTCTGCAGTGATTGCAGCCAAGCTGCATTCGGCTGGGTCATGGCCGCGGCAGCTGCGAAGGGCGCGCTTGCACCTGCACTTGCGCGACGTGCACCTATATATGGACCGCGGCAAAGAACCAGCCCCCAAACCCAAAGCCCCACGTCCAAAAAGCTCAGCACCTGAAAAAAAAAAAGCAGGGCTGCAAAGGAGCTCGGCTGACTCAAAGCCGCTGGTGGCTGCTGGAAAAAGTCGGCCGGTTCCTCGTCACATGTTTCTGCCATATCCAAACTTGATTTGGCCTCCGGATTAGGGCGGCATAGGTTCCGAGGCTCGATGAGCTAGTGATAGTCAGGCTGATTTTCGAATGGGAATTCAAGACGCCCCGTCAAGACAGGACAGAATCGACACCTCGAGGCAAAAGCGAAACATCGCAGTGCCCCGAATCGTGATCTTTGTAGTTTTTAGTCGGGGTCCACCGAATGTTTCGTGATTCTCGGTTCTCAAGAGCTTCTATTCTATCACTAGCACTTCAACATCACAACATTGAAATCAAGTTTATTCTGCGAAATTTCTTGATTCCCGATGATGCATTGTCTTTCCTCTTTCGGCAGAACATGCCGCTATGCCGCAACTGCAGCCAAGCGGCGCTCGGCTGGGTCATGGCCGCAGCAGCCGCGAAGGGCGCGCTGGCACCTTCGAATGGGAGACATAAACCTATGTGTGGGCCGGCAGCAGTCCCAAAGCACCACATCCTCAGGATCAGTGCCGCGAAGGAGCTCGGCTGACTGAAAGCCGCAGGTGGCTCTCGGAAAGGGTCTGCCGCTTCCTCGAATTTGACAAATTGGCGGTCAGGCTTCTATAAAGGCGGGGTTGTGATTGCCTATGGAAACCATTTTGAACCATGCTGTGCCTTCCACTACCGACTTTTCACACCGCGCCGTTGTTTTGCTATTGCAGCCAAGCTGCATTCGGCTGGGTCATGGCCGCGGCAGCTGCGAAGGGCGCGCTTGCACCTGCACTTGCGCGACGTGCACCTATATATGGACCGCGGCAAAGAACCAGCCCCCAAACCCAAAGCCCCACGTCCAAAAAGCTCAGCACCTGAAAAAAAAGCAGTGCTGCAAAGGAGCTCGGCTGACTCAAAGCCGCTGGTGGCTGCTGGAAAAAGTCGGCCGGTTCCTCGTCACATGTTTCTGCCATATCCAAACTTGATTTGGCCTCCGGATTTAGGGCGGCATAGGTTCCGAGGCTCGATGAGCTAGTGATAGTCAGGCTGATTTTCGAATGGGAATTCAAGACGCCCCGTCAAGACAGGACAGAATCGACACCTCGAGGCAAAAGCGAAACATCGCAGTGCCCCGAATCGTGATCTTTGTAGTTTTTAGTCGGGGTCCACCGAATGTTTCGTGATTCTCGGTTCTCAAGAGCTTCTATTCTATCACTAGCACTTCAACATCACAACATTGAAATCAAGTTTATTCTGCGAAATTTCTTGATTCCCGATGATGCAATGTCTTTCCTCTTTCGGCAGAACATGCCGCTATGCCGCAACTGCAGCCAAGCGGCGCTCGGCTGGGTCATGGCCGCAGCAGCCGCGAAGGGCGCGCTGGCACCTTCGAATGGGAGACATAAACCTATGTGTGGGCCGGCAGCAGTCCCAAAGCACCACATCCTCAAACCTGTAAAGTCGGATCAGTGCCGCGAAGGAGCTCGGCTGACTGAAAGCCGCAGGTGGCTCTCGGAAAGGGTCTGCCGCTTCCTCGAATTTGACAAATTGGCGGTCAGGCTTCTATAAAGGCGGGGTTGTGATTGCCTATGAAACCATTTTGAACCATGCTGTGCCTTCCACTACCGACTTTTCACACCGCGCCGTTGTTTTGCTATTGCAGCCAAGCTGCATTCGGCTGGGTCATGGCCGCGGCAGCTGCGAAGGGCGCGCTTGCACCTGCACTTGCGCGACGTGCACCTATATATGGACCGCGGCAAAGAACCAGCCCCCAAACCCAAAGCCCCACGTCCAAAAAGCTCAGCACCTGAAAAAAAAAAGCAGTGCTGCAAAGGAGCTCGGCTGACTCAAAGCCGCTGGTGGCTGCTGGAAAAAGTCGGCCGGTTCCTCGTCACATGTTTCTGCCATATCCAAACTTGATTTGGCCTCCGGATTTAGGCGGCATAGGTTCCGAGGCTCGATGAGCTAGTGATAGTCAGGCTGATTTTCGAATGGGAATTCAAGACGCCCCGTCAAGACAGGACAGAATCGACACCTCGAGGCAAAAGCGAAACATCGCAGTGCCCCGAATCGTGATCTTTGTAGTTTTTAGTCTGGATTCACCGAATGTTTCCTGATTCTCGGTTCTCAAGAGCTTCTACTCTATCACAAAAAAGCACTTCAGCATCACAAAATTGAAATCAAGTTTATTCTGCGAAAGGGTCTGGGTCTGGGGCCTGGATTTGGGGCTGGGGATGGATTTGGGTCTGGGGGATTTGGGGCTGGATTTGGGGTCTGGGAAGGTGGGCCTGGGTTGCTGCCCGGCCACACTTGGTTGGCTGAGGGCCGCGGCAGCTGCGAAGGGTGCGCTGGCACCTGCGAGGTTTAGGATTTAGGGCGTAGGAGTTAGGGTTTAGGACAAAGGGTTTAGGGTTTGTTGGTTTAGGGTTGAGGCTTTAGGGTTTAGGGCTGCGAGGTTTCGACGACGATTTTTCAGGTGGGAGGGTGGGAGTTGTGGGCTTTCGGATTCAGCTTCGAGGGCCGAGTGTTTGTGGCTAAAGTTTGGTTACTTTTACTGTGGCTTGACTGTATAATCTGGAGCAAGGTCTCGGTTGGCAGTCAGAAGGGGTGTAGGTTTAGGGCTTTGAAAGCAGAATCTTTGCAAGACCCCTACTGCAAGCTGTGCATTCGGATTGGCTGCACTGGTACATCCTACCGAGTCCAGGAGAAGTTCAAAGTTCTATACCTTTGACCTATTCCGGAAATAGGGGACTCTAATATAGTACCGAAAATAGTAGGATCCTTGTTATGAGAGGACCCCGGAATAAGGTACCCCTAACTTTCGGAAACTCCCAAACTCCAACGCCAAAGTCGTGCACTCCTGCAGCCTAGCACTCAGTCAGAGGCACTTGTCGAGCCAGAAGTGGAAGGAGGCGCAGCTGCAAAGGGATCCTGAACATCAGGGTGCATGCAAAAAACCCACCCATTTGCCGAACCCCAATTAGCCCGATTCTCAAACCGGCTATCGGGTTGTGTTGGAGGAAGAGCGCCTGCTGGCTTGGGCAGTATCTTTGGCTTTGCGGGACAGGCTGGGCTTAGGGTTTTGGGTTTAGGGTTTAGGCTTTAGGGTTTAGGGGCCTGAGCCGCAGCCTGTGCAAGAGTGGCCTATGAGTGTCGTGCGCTCTTCCTCGTTGACGTGGCCACTGCAACTTTGCCACTGGTAGCACGGACCTACTTGCAAGATGTTTAAGGAATGGACCGCCGCATGATACCGTGTCATGTTGGCCGTGAACATGGGCAGGTCGTCGTCGTAGTGGTGATGGTGGTGGTGCCAGCTAGCAGTAGAAGCAGAAGTAGAAGTCGAAGTAGAAGTAGGAGTAGGTGGAGAGGGAGAAGGAGAAGTAGAAGAGGAAGTGGAAGTGAAAGTAGAAGCAGAAGTAGAAGTGGACGTGGAAGTGGAGGTGGAAGTAGAAGTAGAAGTGGAACTGGAGGTAGAAGCAGAAGTAGAACACGAAGACGAAGTACTAGAAGTAGAAGGTGCAGTAGCAACAGCAGTACCAGTAGCTGTAGCGGCAGCCGTAGCCGTAAGCCGTAGTAGTAGTAGTAGTAGTAGTAGTAGTAGTAGTAGTAGTAGTAGTAGTAGTAGTAGTAGTAGTAGTAGTAGTAGTAGTAGTAGTAGTAGTAGTAGTGGTAGTGCTAGTGCTAGTGCTAGTGGTAGTAGTAGTAGTAGTAGTAGCAGTAGTAGTAGCAGTAGCAGTAGCAGTAGCAGTAGCAGTAGCAGTAGCAGTAGCAGTAGCAGTAGCAGTAGCAGTAGCAGTAGCAGTAGGAGTAGTAGTAGTAGTAGTAGTAGTAGTAGTAGTAGTAGTAGTAGTAGTAGTAGTAGTAGTAGTAGTAGCGCTAGTAGGAGTAGCAGTAGCCGTAGCAGTGGCAGTAGCAGTAGCAGTCGTAGTAGCAGTCGCAGCAGCAGGAGCAGTCGCAGTGGCAGTCGCGGTAGGAGTAGGAGTGGGGCTAGGAGTCGTAGTCGTTGTCTTAGGGGTAGGAGTCGCAGTCGTTGTCTTCGCTGTCGTCGTCGTCTTCCTCCTCCTCCTCCTCCTCGTAGTCACAGTAGCTGTTGCTGTTCCTGGTGCGAACCAACCCCTCTAACACGGCTACCGCTATCTACAAGCCCCTGGCTTCCTTCTCAACTTAAGGCTTTCTCTTAATCTTGACAGCTGGATGTTTTTGTCATCCCTCAAGTCTACACGGCCCTAGACCCCGGAACTCTGAACGCTTTACAATGGCAATAAACCCAGAAGCCTGAACTCAATGCTTGTGACTCTAACATGGACCTGAATGCAGAACCGTAAACACTTTCAATTGGCCCTAAACCCAGATTACAACGCCTAAGCCCAGAAACCCAGAAAACCCGACGCTCCCTAAACCGCCAAAACGGCATCTTTCTCTGGACCCCTTCACTGGGTTGGCTCTTCAAAGCCTCTGAAAAATGCTCGGAAATGAGATCCTTCTAAGCCCAATAAGGAAACTAGCTGATGGTTGGGATAGTATGAAACATGTATATAGTCTTATTCCTCACGGGGTTTTTGATACTCATAAACATTGAAAATCATACCCAAATATGACAAAGCAAAATCTAGAATATCCCAAAGCCTACCTCGTTCATTCCTCCCTCCGTAATCAAGCCCCTTGTTGCAGCTGGCTCGCACTCGTCGCGGTGGCCGCCGTTTCTTGGACACCTGTGTAGGATCTAGGGCGCAGGGCTTAGAATTTATGGTTCGGAATAAGGGATTTGGGGTGTATGATCTAGGGCTACTGTTTTGGATTTAACGGATTGGGTTCAGGTCTAGGGACATGAAA